ATCGCTCTTTGAAAGGGATAAAAAGATTGAATCGGGTTAAGCAAACCATCTGAAGTCCGCTTGCATACCATAGGTTGGGATTCTCTGTCTCAGAGCAAATTGTTCAGTAATTTCCTTTTGCATACTTCACAATCTCAAATACCTGGAATTCGAAAATGACTATATTTTTATAAAATGTTCAATTTTTTTGTATAATGCAAAATAGTAAAAAAAATGAGGTGATTTCATGTCTCAGATTGCTCGAATGTCAGCCGAAATGAGAAAAAGTCACGATGACATCAAATTTAATAACTTTTCTCTGCAACCAACGTGAATCTTCAAGTTGATTTAATAAGTTTGACAATCCTTTTAAGACTGTATAAAAGTTAAATAAGAATTAGATGGTTGTGAGTTTTTAATTTAGCTTCCAAATCTGTGGCGGGCTGAGTGAAGAACAATATTGTGCATAGGCCCGAGGGCGCTCGCCGCCATTTAATAAGAATTATAAAAAATAATAAAGGCCATGGCATCAATTAATTTTAATCTTATTAAAGCAAATGAATTATATACAGATAGCATTAATTCCCATTCAAATATTACGTAATGTAAAGAAGCTTAAATAATAATTTATATTATTTTAGGGAGATGACGCCTTGCGCCTTGCCCAAGGGCGCCAAACGTCAAATGCCCGGGCATGTTTATTAATTTAAAACCATCAAAACTCTCATTTGATGTTATTAAGTATAAAGGTTTTATTTGTTTTGTTGACCGCTAAAGTTTTGTTAAACTTTCTACGTTTGAAATAATTCCATTTTAGATTTAGATAGAGGATGATGAAGTATGTATGAATTAGGAAATATAATATGGTGGTAGTGGTGATTAATACTTAATTCATTTCGTAAAGCTCTCCTCACTTTGTCTTCCCATGCTAACACAGTCCATAATGTGGGTTGGGGAATTACATAATATAATTAATATTATATAATAATATAATTACTTTCGCAATCATGAGTATCGTTATTAAAAATTTAATTATTCTCAACTTAATTAACTAATTTAATTACATTTAATTTAATTTGATTAGTTCGAGTAAACTTCGCTATAATGAATATCTTATGAATATGAATATCGTTAACTCCTGATAAAGTACTAGCATTTTTTTGGTGGTTTGTCTGCTACTTCATTTTGGGGAATACCTACATGTGCAGGAATCCATTCCAAGTTTTTTTTTTTAAGCTGTTTAATTCTCTTATAGATCGATTTTGTTGTGTTAGCTTGTTATACCATTTGTTAAAATTAAAACTTTCTGATATGTAAGCTAATAATATTTCTTTGATAGCTTTCGTTTTAGGTTTAAAGTTGTCATAATTTCTTATTCTGATGTGTGTGGAATTAAAATTATAAAACAACCACACCACTGCCCGTTCTAGCTCGAAAATAGTTAAGAGATATGATTCTAAACAAAAATTACTATGGTGCTTGAAATAAATGTTGTGTCAGTTGTTTCAAAAGAACTGTATTTCAGTTGTACCTGCACGACTAACCTCAAACTATATATTTACAATTTATATCTTGGTATATAAAGTGATTAAATATAAAAAAAAAAATCTGCTTCGCGCAACACACAACTTTCACTTACCGCTCTGCTTTCAATAGAAGTTATTTTCTGGTAACATTGGGCTATTATAAAATTTTTGAAGTGCATTTTAAACGGAGCTAAACTTAAAGCTTACAGATACCACATAATTAAGACCATTTAAATAACAAATACTCTGTTTGTTATAGCGACGGTAGGCAATAAAAATCTAGTTACTTCATCTGCTTTTATAAAGCGCACAACTTAGGTGATTGCGGTGTTGAAATATAGAACTGTGAATAAATATATACATTTAGCCACTAGAAACTTCAGTAAAATAAATAATAAAGAATGTTGAAATTAGAGTTAGTCACCGAAAGGCTTTTATATTCCTAGAGAGATTTGAAACTATATCTGAATATTTAACCAATAAATGATAATGGATTGTAGGACTATTAGTTATTAAACTGTCATTTTCCATTGTAAAGTTTACTAAAATGGAATTACGAGATTTTCATTGCTTGCCATAGATTGGTCAAAAGTTTTCACACTGATTGTAAGTGGATAATGTTGAGATTTCACAAAGGGAAAATTCATCAAATTATTCAATAATTTAGTTTTCAAAATGATTTTTTTGGAATAAACGGCCTAAAGATACCTAATTATTTAAATATAATATCATTTCTAGAGTTATTAAACTATAGTAAATGTATGTAAGGTTATAAACATATCCATGAAATATTTTTACATTTCACTTCTTCTTTTACACAAGTTCAATGAAATAGTATTTTAAACAATGACATTTCCTTCATTCGGTTGGTTTTAAATACTTTTCTTTTAAAACTTATATGTATGTCTTTTTAGCCCTGAAGAAGACCTAAAACTTAGATCGAAACGTTGGATAATTCAATAAAAAATACTATTATCTAATATAGTATTTTATATATTGACCGCACTCCCGACTTACTTCTTCCAAAATTAATGATGGTTACTTTAGGGTATTTAGTTGTACATTGAGTCATTTATATTTGATTGTTATGTTAATCTATTGTAGCACAGCCATCATGTTATAATTCCTCCTCATAAATATATCCTTTGGTGAACCATCTCGTTCCAATTTTCGTTCTTCAGATGGAGTTGCCCAAGGGCGCGGAAGTGCTGTAATCCTTACCTCCCCCTCACCCCTTTTCCTCCTCCTTGGAGCTGACGTTGATTTCATTCTTGTTGGCTGAGCAAATATTTTCAAATCGTAGATTGCTTACGTTGTCGTTAGTAAAAGTTTTTCTACAACTGACCACTGAGCTTAGCCGGATATTTAAGGGAAATCATTTCTCCAAGAAACTATCGGTTTTTATCAAGTTGAATTTATCACCGTTCTTTTCTGGAAAAACTATTTTGCCGTCCGTCATTTTAAATGCGGATTTCCTGTTCTTTTGTTTGTCTTTGTTGGAAAACGTTCATAAATTTTACCCAATATCGAAGTCTTGACAACCTGATAAGGATAATGCTAAGTTGAACTAATGCTATGGATGGAAAACTTATACTAATCTCACCTATTTATCATTCAGCTTAAACTTAATTTTCTTCTATAAATTAGTACTCGATCCTAAATTGTGTTGGTACTTGATAAACATTCTGGGCGCAGTCATTTTAAGATTTTTATTTTGCCGACGTTTCAACCCAAGCAGGTGCGTCATCATTATGGCATGTTATTAGTACTGAATTATAGCTACTGAATGTTAACTTCCTTCAATAACTCAATTGTTTTGTTTCATTTAACCTATTATTCTATAAAAAATATTCAGCTACGGTATTCGAGGAACTTTTTTGTCACTTCTTTTTTTCCATCTAACTTGTTAAAATATTGAAATAAGTATTGTATTTTCGAAAAATATTTTTCAAGTGTTTAAAACTCAGAAAAGAAAATTAATAGTTATCAGGTTCTTAACCACTTTACCACTCTTGGGTACGCTTTCACCTAAAAATAAGAGCTAGAAACTCTTTTATATTTAATGAAAGGTTTTTATAATACTTTCTTGAAACTATTTTAATTACTTTATGTTTTAAAAGGAACTATACAAAATAATAAATAATACACATCAATTGAAAAAGAAGCGTAAGTATGCATTCTAATGAAAATAAATAATTCGTTTTAAACCACGCGTCAACTCGGAAATCATTCATTTCAGATGTTTATAATCGTACATGATTCTCTTACTGGTAAAACAGTAGAGAATGTAGGGATAACGCCCGTGTAGTATATAGAGTCGATGAGCTCTTTTTTATTAGACCTGGGTCAAGAGGTATGAAACTCACCATCTCATATTTTCTTGAAATTAGGCAAAGTTATTCTATTTTTACAAAATTAGAAAAATGTTAATATTTTTAATAATAAATCGACATTTAAATTTTGTTCTATGACACTATTTAATCATAGAAAAAAAAATTAAAATATTTCTTCTGTTCATTTTTCCTAAAATTCGTGTCTTGAAGTTTTAATTTTTCCTTAAATTATTCCAATTATCACCAACATTTTATTGATCAGTCGCTCCAGAAATGACGTAGGCGAAACCCCTGAATAGCAGAACAATTTAATGTTCACTGAACAAATTATTGCGACATTATTAATAATGAATATATAACGGAGGACTCATCAAGACTTGAAAATGGCCATTAATAACTATCATAATTAATAACTTATCAATAAAATGTTGGTGATAATTGGCCTAATTTATGTAAAAAAATAAAAATATCTAGACTCTGAGAAAATTGCAATGAAATTTCAAATTATGAAAAATTGATACCAATTTTCTTATATTGATACCTTTTCAATGTTTTATATCATAGGAAAGAGAATTTAATAAGCTGTAAAATGACATCAATCCCATACCTTCGGCTAAATTATTAAAGGTTCTACGGCAACGTTTAATCAGATTTTAAGTCCACTCGTGAGTTCTTTGCAGCGAGTTGACTTATTAAAACGAGTTGACATATCTAAATAAAGTTTTATATTTGATGGTGAGATTCACACTGTGGCACGTCATAGCTATGTTTTAGACCTGCCTAAATTGGACATTTAGCTATAATATTTGCTTGGGTTACTGTTGTATGCTTTAGGTTTGGTTCTTCATTATAAAATAAATCATCCTACTTATTCTGTCTTTGAGGTTTACCTGTGAATGAACATTCATTTTTTCACAATTCTATTATAAAATAGTTTTTACAGCGGTAATTCAATTAAAAAAATGAAATAGTATGGGCCGAAGACCTGACATTCAACTAGGCCCTTCAGCGATCCCTTTAACAATAGCGGATAATGGGAGTTAGGGGTCGCCAGATCCATCTTCTATTCTATTCTTTAGGTCCATTGTTTCTATAATTAATTTGCTCTCATTGTCATTTACTGAGTACTTTTTTTAAATAGCTGTTGCGTTATTTCTAACTCCTACTCTTCGGACCACCTTTCAGGAATTACTATAGTCCTGAAAAAATTAAAACATTAAAACGATCATTACACTTGATTAATTTTAAATGTATTTTAGTGCTGTTATGGAGACTGAATGTTTTCTATTGTATTCATACTAATGTTTTCTATTATACTCCTCAGGTAAGTGTTTTCCGCAAAGTAAATTTATGATCAATTTTGGACCAATACTAAGCGGGAAAAAAATTATTTCCTATATTAATTATTTATAAAGGAAGGAGATGGTCCGGGATTGCGGTAATAAATAGGTAGCTAAATAGTGGTAAAACTATTTTATTGAAAACCAACGTTTCGACCCGACTTTGCAGGTCTTCATCAGGGAGGTGTGTTCATCTAGGAGTTTCACTTAGAACTAAAAAAAAAGTGAAATTTCAGTTCTAAGTGAAATTCCTATTAAATATTCAATTAATTATTTATGTTTTTCATAAATAACCGCAATGTTTGTAAAATCTTTTCTCGTTGAAGAGTTAATTAGTTTTTCACCTTTGTTATTCATACTGTCTGTTTTAATCAATTTAGTGAGGAAGGTGAAACGCTTTGAGCTGGACTAAAAATTTCTTGATTATATTGATTACATGACAGATTACATTATAACAAATTGAGTTTCCTTCAGTAAACATAATATGATGCATAATGAGATAACATACTGTCTAAGTGTTTTGTGAAGATCAAAATACGGCGATGTTCTTGTATTACTTCTTTTTTTTTTTTTTCTAGCAGAAAGATAATAAGTAATTGATGTATTGTTGTTGTGGAGCATGCCGCTGATTGAAAGTTGTTCCGTATCGTGACCGCCGGTGATTTAGGAATGAATGATGTAATTACAGCCGTCCTGGTTTGGAAGAAGATTTATTTCGCGCCTTTAACATCATACACTGACGTAAATGACAGAGATTTTTCCAACAGATATATGGATTCTGTTTGATTTATAGACTTGTTTTATTTTATATCTTCCCGGTTACTGTTGCTGCGTTATAGATAATACTAGAATTCATCAATTTTCTTTATGTAATATCAATAATGAAATTCCCTAATTACGCTCAATACTTATATTTCATTTATAATTAGAAATTATGCAGGACAATTTGTGAAATCTGCTTGGCATGTTTAGGGGAATGTAGATTCTTTGCGTATGATGATCAAAATTAATTTTTACTACAATTAAAATACGCATTACATATATACACGTTATACTGTTGGCATTATAGATCTTTGGCTGCTTTAACGAGCCTTCTCAATCTCTGCCTGTCTTGGGCTATTTCTCTCTGGTTATCTGCATGCAGCTGTATTGCATCTTTGTTGATTGGACCTATCCATCTGGTTTTTGACTTTCCTCGTGGTCTCTCGCCTTCATATCATGAGATACCTTTTTATATTAACTAATTGAATTCTCTACAAAATAAAATAAAATATATGTAATGTTTCTTTTTTCAAATAACTTAAAAATTATATATCTCTAGGAACACTACAGTTTACCGTTTGAAAATTAAATGAAATTCATCAGACCAAGATAAGCGATGGTACAGCAGACCTTTTTTGTTATTCATTTTGCATCCTATAGCGGACTTGGAAAGTTGTCTGAGTGAAATCTAATATTTTTAATTTGTTTTTTTTAAAGAATATTTTTTGTATCATTATCAGTATAAATTCATGTATTAAAACCTACAGACATATACGAACTGGTTAGTTTCTGTCCGATGTACATCTAAAAATATTGAATACTCTTTTAGTTACGAATGTCTTATAACTAATTGTCGTCCCGCTAATTCAATTTTACTTCAATCCATGAAGCTAACAAAACGGCACTTGTCGCCTGTTTCTCTTCTTCATTGCTGGTATTCTGAGATTCATCTGAAGTTTACCTCTTCTACTTTGCTCAGAGAGAGTCGGAAATTCTATTGTTTGGAAAATCTTCAGCATAAAGACGATCATTAAATGTTTGATACAAGACTGAAGATATAGAGTGCTCTGATCCCCTCCTGGTTGCTACGGTTTCTGATGTTCAAAGGCAGAAGAACTAAGACTGTCGTTGTTTGAAAGGTACATTGATCGGAAGGCAGTGAAAATTCTATGCTGCCATATTATTAACGAAAAACATAGGCTTTTATTTGAAAAATGTGCAAATGGGAAAAATCTTTTATGGGAATTGAAAAAGTCTTGTATATTCTATCACATAAAATATCAGTATTGTCAATTAAAATGCATAGAATAGTCTTATAATTAGTGAAACCATGAAATATTATTAGTAAGTAGAAAACAAATATGGATCTGCTCATATGACGTCACCTTGCCTCGTTGGGTGCAAAATGTATTTCCTACATCTTTGCTGATTTTATTTCCAAATAGATATTTTTTTAATTTAAGTTTTTCTTTGGTGATATTTCGTTTATTTTTCACATAAGAGAATCTGTATTGTACATCCAAAAGATGTATAGTTATCCAGTTTTTCGTAAAAAATATTCTAAAAAAAATGAAAAGATAACGGCTTTAATTTAGACAAAATAAAACCGAGTACGAATTTAAATTTTTATTTTCACCTGCTATCGATCATTTGGTTTTTAGTTGTTGTTTTTTTAAAGTATAATTGGAATAATCTGTTGCTTTATTATTTTCAATAATGATTTTTAGAAACTAAAAGGAAAACAATGTTAACACTATCAAAATTTTAGGTTTTACATTTTATAATACTTTTAATCCAAATCGAATAAAAATAAAACCGCCTTAGAGACTACTTTGCTAATTATGTTGAAATTTGGTACTAAAATTACGGGTCACTGGATGTTTCTGGAAAATCGGTATTACCATTCGCTGTTTCATTTCAAAATGGTGGCCGATTACAGTTTCCATATTCACATCTCGGTCTCTTGGTAAGGTAGTAGAAAAATATCAAGTGTTTTAGAATCATTATACCATTTTACACACTTTCTAGTATATTATATTTATGATCATCTAAAAATTTAGAAATTCCTACAAAACCAAAAATGCTTATATATCGAAATCGGGCCAATATTAGAGCAATGAACTTTTTATATCTATTTTTTAAACTTTTATATCACAGTTTAGCAGCCATACAATTTTTATTGTGTTTCTCTCTTGTTAATTTTTTTATATAATTAATTATGCGTCTTCTGAAATTCCAAATCCTCTTTTGAACGATAATTATACTTTCTATAAATAAATAAGAGGAAATAATAATAAACAATTAAATTATTAAATTTGTAGTGTTCTTGTATTATATGCAAACAAAATTTACTCTTTTAAAATGTTTTTTCTTATTTTTATTTTCTTTCTCTCCATCTCCCATTAACATTTATAAAAAGTTGAAGGACTTATAGAAGAAGGCGTTAAAAAAAGGTTCGAAAAAAAAGTTATTGCCATTTTGCTTCTACGGTTTGTAGAGAAAGATCCCGATATGGTCTGCACAGAGTGTGTTCCAAAGATGAGAAACGTCAAGGAATATTGTTAAAAAAAACAACAACGAAAGTCAGAACATTTAGTGGCTACGTGGTGGGTGCCCAAATTTGCCGCTATTTTTCAGAATCAACAATTCCGATTTTAACTGTTCTTCGAACTTAAAGGACACCATGTCCATTTTTATCTTGAATACTTTAGTAATTAAGGGGAGGAGGGCGGGGTAGCCGAATCGACTAACGCGTTTGTACAGCACCGCGAGTTGTCCGGCAACCAGATAACCAGAGTTATGAGTTATTAAAAAATTACCAGTTTGCGTCACGGTGCCAGAAGGGATTTTAAATTCTCCGTCCTCAACCCGCGGCCCTGGAAAACCCCGTATAGCCTAGAGGCGAGGAAGGAGAGTATCAATCAAAAATACACATGGCGTTCTTTGCCTCCGAGGTAAAAAAAATTGCTAGAAAAAAACGGCGAATTAATATATGGACATGTATATACAGATCTATTTTCTTGGGTAGTACATAAAGAACTGTACCTCAGAGGCCGCCGAATGAATGACGCAAGCTGTGTGCACATTTCATGATGATAATGTAAATGGTTTATTTGCTGAAGTGGATTTTCACCGACCTATTGTCTGTTATCCACTGTTTGTATTCCTAACACCCGTATTGCCTAATGGACTGTGCAGTATAAAAGACATAATGAAAACTAAAATCAAATAAAGAAAATAAATGTTTATTACCCTAAAAAACATGTGAAAAAATGATTTTGAACTGCGAAGGAAGATTTTGCGCATAAAATGATTTAATCCTAGCTGAACAAAGTGGATTTCAAGCTCTACAAGTGTGCACCGAACATTCTTAAGTAAAGCTACAGAGGCAGCTAAAGAATTAAATCGATATAAGGCCACTGTTTTAATCTCAATGGACTGCTAGGAGGCATTGGATTCGGTTAGTCATATACAGCTTTTTCAACTGCTTATCAATTTAAATTGTCATGAACAAGATCAACAGTATGGTTTGTTAATGTAAGGTGAACTCAAGCGTGAGGAGAGCTCCAGCACCGATTATATATCAAATTTAGATAAAATTCACAGAAATATAAAAAACATAAGTACAATACACCTTACTATGCTTTTTAGATGTAAAAGGAATATTAAGATGACAAAAAGTAATCTGGATCCAGGACAAAAATATTAAAAAAGATAATATGTATAAAATAAATAAAAGTAAACATGATCGCGGTAGACGATATTTTTTTTAAATGGTTATCTATTCAAGAAAAATTGATAACAGTTCTAATTAAAGAACATTCTATAAAGTGGTGGTAAGATCCCATGACCAGCATTTACTCTACCGGGAGCAGAAACTAATTACGTAGTTAATTCAGGGTATAATGCCGGATAGGGTCTTAGATCTAATCCATAGGACGATATCAAGCTTATCAGAGAGGGGTTGTTAGACGTGCACCTTTAATAATAGTCCAACCTTCGTAATAAACCTTTTTATATTGAACCATTGCGGCATTGCTTTTAATATAGCTTAAAAAAAAGTCTAATAAACAGTATTTTTCTTCTAAAACAATAACGTCAGATTCTTGCTGAGATGTTCAGCTCCTGATCCTCCAAGATCCTCCTCAACTTTTTTTTTTAATAAACCTTGAAATTATTAATTTTAGTAAGCACAATTATTAATATTAAAAAAAAAGAGGGTGAAGTTAAAGCTCAGTTTAAATATAAATTAAGCCGGAGAGTTATAATAGATTTTATTTAATGCAAAAAATCAGGAGAAATACGTGTACCTTGGCCTCCCTAAAAATAAGAAATTCTACCGGATGAAATTCAGGATTTGTGATAAAATTGAGTACACTTTGTGGCTTATTTTGGTGCCTGTGATCTGAAAAGTAATATTTCTTTACTTGCTAGCATAATTGTTAATCAAAAAAATAGATTAACATATTCAAAATTATAAGTCGGTTGAAGTATAGTAATCTCTCTTGATTCCTGATTTTTACTGAAAAAGTTTATAAAAGATTATTTATTTATTGCAAGCATCTATATGGTGGGATTTCAAGAAATGACATGAAAAAGTTAACTTACTAGTGTAGATAAGTGAAACGTCTTGTTGAATAATAATTATAATTCCTATTACGACAAATATTACCCGAGATGCAATTCGTAGCCAAAGGTACTAATAGTGACCTGTACGATATAGAGTGGTCCAAGGTATAACTTAGTTATTGTATCTTGGGTCATTTATTATTTTTAAAAATGATTTTCTTTCTTAGTCAAAATATGATGATAAAATTTATACAATAAATGTAAAAGTTAACATGGTATCTTCAAAGCAT